TTTTTGTATACATACAATGAGAAACAAAAGTTTCAATAGAAATGTAAAATCGCCCGGCGGGCTGCACAATTTAACGTGGCGGGCCGCGTGTTGGCCAGGCCTGGACTAGAACCTAGTATAACAGTGTCGAACAAACAAAACATGATAACAGAAGCAAAATCGTTCGAGATGCTTCGTGCTTGCACGTGTCGCTCTTTTGACGACCAATAAATGCATAACTACGTCGCATAAAAACAGTAAAACGCAGAAAATGCGCGCGTGCCATTGGCTCGCGAGAATTCTGTTTGTTGGGAAGAACCGTTCCCTCCAATCGCCCCCTCCATCCCCGAAAACAGAAGCTATATTAACGGGTGATTGCACATTAATCAATCAGTCGACCTGTCGAATATGGGTGAAAGAATTTCGTATACACAACGCATAAGAATAGCAACCTTATACTCGGACACGGGATGAACTACTCAGCAAATAGCTGAGAGGGTGGGGTGTAGCTTCACAACTGTGCGTCGGTGGATTAGGAGATGGCAGCAAGGGGGAGAAGAAGGGCTTACAAGTCGTTATGGACCACGACAGGTGTCGAAGAAGACTACCGCCGAATAGGACACGGCACTCGCCGGCCAAATTGTTGAAGATCCCTTTCTTCCGGCGACACAAGTCAGGAATCATCTTGATTTGCCGATTTCCGCGTCGACCGCTAGACGCCGCCTCTACAAAGCAGGTTTAAGGTGTTATCGGTCGGCGCGGAAGCCCGTGTGGGCTTCACGTTGCAAGAGCTGACGACGTCGCCGCAAGAATGGAATCGTACAATATCAATCATAGTGTCCGTTCGTCTAGTGAAAAAGCACTGACTTTGGAGTCCAAGTTTAACCGCAGCAAATATCATAAATCTAATTATTTAATAAAAGCGTTAAAGTAATTAACATAATCATCTGATAAAAGCTTTCGAGTATTCAATAATTTAGAATTTCAAGAATTTATTTGAAATTACAAAATACACTAGATGAACGGACACTATGATTGATATTGTATAATTTGGACCGATGAGAAGGTGTTCTCCTCGGCAACCCGATCGTCGAGTCCAGGCATGGCGACCGCCAAGACCGCGGCTTGATCCGGAGTATGTCGTCCATAGCGATCGATAGGAATGGAGAATGTTTAGAAAAGGCAAGCGGTCCGACGCCGTATTGCTAAAAATGTGGACTTTGTTCCTGAAGGATCTGGCCACGGAGTGGGGAAGGCATTGCCTTTTGGTAAGAGGACTGTGATGAACCCCACGGCACTTACCCCAGAACCGTCAATACGATAGGACACTGTGATTTTTAACATATAACAATTGTGAAAACCATAACCGGTCTCCCCTACAAGTTTTAATAAACAATGGCTAGTAAGAAACATTACACAGAAGTAGATAAGAATACATTTTTGGCGATAGTTCTACGTTAAGAAATAAAGAAGACGCATGGCAGGAGATCACAGAACAGTATAACATGTCCGCTGTGATTTATCCAAGGTTTGTAGAATAAAGAATATTATTACGTGAAACTGAGAATGCTTATCGCTATTTGGAATTTGGCACGTTACCTTCCCTGAACCCGCGCGCTACGTGCGCTCGTTTTGGTCAGCGTTTTTGCTTAACAATTTCAAAACGAAGCGACTTACACTCATTCTGGGACACCCTGTAATATAAATTTTATTTTTCAGAGGAATGTTGCCCAACTGAGAAAAATGTGGAGCAACATGAAATCTGCTCAACGAAGTGCGATTATGAAAGAAAAACAATTTCGATTGGCAACAGGGGGAGGTCCTGCAGAATCTGGAGCAGAAATAAATCCAGAAATAGCAGAGATCGTGCCATTCTTGATGAAAAATGCGCCGACTGTTTTGTCATCTAATTTCACAGAGGAAGAGTTGGCGAACAAACGTGATGCCATATTCCATGACGAATACATCTTTGACGATACGATCGAAGTGGATGATAACAATCATAATAGTATAAACACCACTGAGGAAGTTAGTTATATTAAAACCGAAATTAATGATGATGGTCATGAAGAAGATCATTGTGATATTGTTAATCGTTTCCTACAATTGAGAAATGATGAAATTGATGAAATCGTGGAGAGTACGCTGCAGCGTACACAAGACAGCCATTTCCGCCCCTCCAAAAATGGATTACGGTGAGAGGAGATTGAAATTAGAACGCATCAGAAGAACCATGAAAAATGAGGAAGAATTAGCTGATTTAAAACTACGGCACGAAAAATTTAAAAACAAATTAGAAACAGAATTTCTAAAAGCAAAATATGCGTTAGAAATCCGTACTGCATCCGCAACAGCAGAGAAAGCGGAATTAGAATTAAAACAACTGGAAGGTAATAAACATTAAGAACAATGTTCATGAATAATAAAAAATATTTTGTAGGTATGAAAAATTATCTTTTTAATAATTTATTCATATAAAATTTTCTAATTTTATAATACGTTCTAATTTCAGCCTCCTCTCGTCATAATCCATCTTTGGAGCGGCAGAAATGATTGGTCTTCGTCGCTGCGATCCACGATTTCATCAATTTCATCCTTTTGGCATTCTGGGGAATGATTATTAATGGCATAATGACCTTCTTCATGGCCCTCATCATTAATTGCGGTTTCAAAAATTTCGAAAACAGTTTGTTTCCATGGCGTAGTCGAGGTCACCTTAGGTTACATAAATAGGACCATACATTTTTTTTTATTTACCATATTTAGAGAACATCGAGAAGAATTTAAAACACATATTACATAATATTTTTACTAACATATTACTTGATTTACAGAAGTGGCAATGTGAAATATTTAGCTCGATGTCCTCTAAATATGGTAAACAAAAAAGATATATGGTCCTATTTGTAAAACCCAAGGTGACCACGACTTCGCCATGAAAACAAACTGTTTTCGAAATTTTTTTTACTGATATCTATTGTGTACTTCATACCCTGCAGCTCTTGGTTTAAACTATTTTTTGTCAGATGGCTGCAAATGGGTGAAAAATCGTGAGTAACGTTACAGGTAACACCGTGCATACAAATTATGATCAATATCCTCGATATCATCGATAGATATCCTCGATATTCGCAAAGTCCAACTTCATTTTGTACTTTTTTAAAAATAATTTACCATAATTAATCAAACTAAATTGTTCAACACTGCACAATACCACCTTCAAACGTTTGCTTAAGTCTTGAATATCGTCGACTCAAAAACATAACCTCAATGAAGCCAAATAAGAACTCGTTTTCTACAAATAAGGCGGACTTATTCGACTATGAATTCACAAGAACTTAAGACTTTCTTAAGAATCGACTGTGAATCTACAGCGATAAGCATTTACTTTCCTAAGCAAATGCTTAAGCTGATGCTTAAGGCGTTGCTTATTCGGCGACTGTGAATCTGACGGATATCTTAAGCTTATCCTTAAGACCAGCTTAGAAATAAGTTGCGACTGTGAATACCGCCCTATGATTGATACTCTACATATATACAGGGTCTACCATTTATCTCGGAACCTGTGCGCGCGCGAACTCATGAATGTGGCAACAGCGCTAAAATTCGATAGATGCAGCCTCTGCAAACCATTACTGTATGTATGTATGTATTTTATTTTCTTGGGCTCTGCCCAAGATGGCGCTTCAGGGGGCAAGCGCCCCCTATATTGCCTAGTTACATTAAAGCACTAAATACAAACTTATAATCTATATTACAATTTTTACCATACGCCTCTACTTACACACAACACCTTACCTCCTCACCATTCTTTATATAGATACACACATTCGAATCATAACGTTACTGCCCCTCCTGTGCGTTGCTCCATTTCCATTCATACACTTCTTTTAAATGACTTTCCCCAGTTTGTCTAGGAACCTGGAGATGCGTTTAAGGACCCCCAAGTTTCCTCCCATCAACATTTCCTGAACATCCGCCCCTTCATTATATCCCTTTGCAATTAAGAAATTATTAAGCTCTTCTCTGCTTTCTATGAATCTATCACATTCCCACACTACGTGCTTAATAGACTCTAATTCCGCCCCACAGATACAACCTTTCTCTTTTACCAAATTTTTTCTAAATAGCGATTCCCCCAGGTTAAAATGGTTCGCTCTAATTCTGCTCAATCTCACTAAATCTCCCCTATTCATTCCTTTTATGCTATCGAACCATGGTTTCCTTGCCCCCGCATTATTATTCTCAATTGAGAAATATTTTGCCCCTTTAACTTCACCCTTTCTTTTGGCCCTCTCATGGTTTCTGATCCATGCACCCTCCATTATATATCTCAACACATCCCTTTCCACCACCCCATATTCAAACACCTCCTCCCCATTTGTCGCCTCTCCCGCTTTCATATCCGCCCTTTCATTACCCTCGATACCCACATGGCTGGGAATCCAAGCGAATCCTAGTCTGTTACCTGGTGATCTACTCTCCTGCCCAACCCCTTCGTTTCCTTTATATTCTTCTTCCAAAATCATAATTTCTTCTATAATTTCTTGGATCCAGGGATTGTCCCCCGTCCTTCTAGCAAAGCCTTCCAGTTTTTTAAGGGCGCTCGCCGAGTCCGTCAAAATGAGAACTCTTTCCCTTCCCCAATTTAGCCTCGCCTTCTTAACCGCCTGTAATAAAGCAAAAGTTTCCGCCGAAAAAACCGACGTGACTTTATTTAACGACCACGATTCCTCCGACCATTCCCCCGATATTCCCGTAGTTACCACTCCCGCGCCTACCACCTCTGTCAAACCCCTTTTAGACCCATCTGTATAAATTTCTATTACCCCCTTATTATCGCACCTCGGCCAGATTTTGTCCTTGATTTCCTTGATCAATTGCTCGTCTGGGTAATTTTCCTCCTTTCTGCGCTTACCCACTTCCCACTCCACTGTTATTCCACCCCCCTCTATAAAATCGCGCCTTTTATTTAATACTTCCCTTCCAGTATTATTATTCATAACTCTTTCTACTACCCCCTATGTTTTACGCCATGCCCTCACCCACGGATCCCACTCCTCCGAAGGCTCTTCCTCTCTCACCACTAGGGTTCTCGCCAAAGCCTCGTAAACCACCCCCCTACCTTTAATTCTATGTTTCATCACAAATCTTTCTAGCAATACCTCCGCTCTGGATTCCAGGTCCATTATCCCAGCTTCCGTGTTCATTACATTTATAGGGGTGGTTATTCTATACCCCATAGCTGTACGAACCCCCGCATTATGTAACCTCATAATCTTATTCAATGCTCTTTCATTTTCCCAAAAGAAAAGAAACAGGTCATACTCAATCACTGATCTAATCAACCCTTTAAAAAAGATCAGCATTGTACTTGGTTTGACACCCTTCTTAATTCCCGCAATGAACCTCAGAATGTCCAATTTTTTTCTAACTTTATTCGAGACCAATTCTATATGTTTACTGAAACTGAGGGCCCTGTCCAGGGTAATTCCCAAAAAAACGGCCTGCGCTTCCCCCTCCAAGCGTTCTTCTCGTATTCTAAACTCTCCGAACCCCCTATTTCTATCTCTTGCCTTGGAGAAGACTACCACCTTGGATTTGCCTTCTGCCAAACCTAGCCCCAGCTCCTTAAGATTCTCCAACAACGCCCCCACCGCCCCCTCTAGCTTTTCCCTTAATTCGTCTATGTCCTCTCCCGTGATATAGACCACAATATCATCCGCATATAGCAGAACCCTCACCCCCCACCTCTCCATCCCTTTACAAATTTCCGCCGTGTATATATTGTATAACAGTGGGCTTAGGACCGAGCCCTGTGGGAGCCCCCTCTTAATTAGGCCATTAACCCCTTCTAGGAATTTTCGAACACAAGTCGCAGATCTATCCTTCAGCCAATTTACAATAAAGCCCGCCACCCTTTCCGGGCAGTTCCTCTCCTTTAGGAGTGCTTACAATTTATTGTAGTTAACTAAATCATATGCCGATTTTACATCCATAAATGCTGCCACGGTTTCTTTTCTGGCTTCGAAACCTGCCTTAATATCTGTGACCAAGGCCACCAGGTTATCCATAGTGGACCGTCCTTTCATGAAACCACTCTGCCGGTGGTCTACTATCCCCTCTTTATCTACCCATTCACACAATCTTTCTTTTACCAATCTTTCTAAAATTTTACTCATGCAGTTAATCAGGGAGATAGGTCTCAAGGCCTTTTTCCCGGGCTTTTCCAAGAATTTTATAATTACTCTTTTCCACATTTGTGGGATACAGCTATTCTCCCAGATCCAGTTATAAAGTTTCAATAGGCACTTCTTCATTCCGCTATCTAACTTTCTTAGCAGGAGGTATGAAATTCCGTCTTCCCCTGGAGCGAAGGATACCCTAACTGAATCCAGAACCCCCTGCAAATCCCTTTCTTCAAAGCCATCCTGTATACCAACTTGTCCCTGGCTAACATACTCCCTCCCTCGAATCTGACCAGGGGTTTCCAACTCCCCCTGCCCCTCTTTGTCTTGGGTCCCCTCTAAGTCATAGGCAAAGACTTTTCCTATCTCTCGTTCCTCCAGCGAATTTATTTCTTTTTCATTAAGACTGGCGCACCCTGTTTTTCCAATGCCATTCTTAATTTGCTTAATCTTTTGCCAGGCCTCCCTGGAACTAGTGTAACAATCGATTGAAGATGCAAAATCATCCCAAGCTTTAGATTTCTTTTCCTCTATAAGTTTTTTCATTCTTTTTCCTACCTCCCTCAAATTAATCCAATTAGCCTGACTCGGCGTTCTAATAAAGAGTTTTACTGCTTTTCTTCTATCTTTCTTAGCTTCATTGCAATCGTTGTCCCACCACGTCTGCCCCTTAACATTTTTTTGTTTCGCTTTCCCTCTTACATCTTTTCTATTATAACCCTCACCTGTTATAGAGCCACCCGCTTTCCTAATAATATTAATTATTGCCTCCGTGAGGTCCCTACATCTATCGTCTATATTAAAGTTCTCCCATCCCTCTGCATTCCAGTTTTCCATTAAAACCCTCGCTTCTTCCCCTGATACTGTTACGAACGAATCCCAATTTATTTTATCTACCTTAAACTTTCTAGTCGACCCCATCATTTCGTTGGATCTATTTACTTCCTCATCTCCGAACAATAATCCTAACACCTGATGGTCTGACCCCATGGTCTCATTTTCTTCCGTCACCGTTGCCTTTTCCATCGCATAATGCGAACCTATAAAAAGGTCGATATTCGATGGCGGCCTACCCCCAGTTCCTAACCTTGAACTAGTGTTTGTATTGATAACGAACATATCATAGTCCCTAATCACCTCTTCCAACAAGGTGCCCTTTTTGCTATCAACATAACAGTTCCATGTTTTACTTCTAGCATTAAAATCGCCCATTAAGACTGTTTCGACATTGTGTCTTTTATTTTTAAATAATTTGACCCAATCTTCCCTTTCCCACTTCTCTCCTGGCCTTCTATAGACCAGTAGGATATCCCATATACCCTTTTTAGTTTCTACCGAAATCCCTAAAACTTCCCTTCCCGTACCCCTCCAGGTTATATCCTTTCTTATTGTAAACTTTACACTCTCTTCCACTACGAACGCCAAACCCCCACCCTGCCTATCCTCTTTCAAGTCTCCTCTAACTATATTATACCCCGGTATCACGAATCTATCCTTCTTTTTTAGCCATGTTTCTGTTATCCCTAGGATATCAAAATTTTTTATGTTCTCCTTGATCTCACTTAATTTCCCTCTAACACTCCTAGCATTCCAGGTTCCCAGACAAAACTTACCCTTGAGCGTTGAAGTAGCCATTTGGCACAGTTTCAACCCCTCTCTTCCTTTTCTTATAAACTACCCTTCCAAGTTTTGCCTTTCTTCTTTCGCACTTTATCCAACATTCCCTCCCAGCTTTGCGACAGGGGGGCAGTAACAAATCAGACACCTACAAGAAAATACACTTTTAATCTTTATGTTACTCAAGCCAAAATCACATAGTCTACTCTTAAAGTGGGGTTTCCCCTCAACAGATCTCCGCCCCTTAAAGGGGTCCCATGTACACATATCCATAAAATCAATTAAATTGTACAAACTAGTAATACCTTTCCATATCGTTTCTATGTGATCAAGCAGCGATACTATCCGAGGCAAGCCCTCGTCTTCACACAGCCTGCTTTTTCTACAATACTTAACCCATTCTTGGCCTTTTTCCATACTTAAGCTTCTTTCACCTGTAAACGCAACAATAGTCAAAAGACTCAAACCATATGACCACTCATCCCAACGGAACACAAAAATTGGCTCGTATGCTCTCGAAAACAGCCAATCGCAATACCATGTGGAAAAATATCTTTTACAAAAGATAGCTAATATAACCAAAACTATACTAATTATTAATAACATAACTAGACCTACAAATAAACCTAAGCCCCGCATGGCTTTCACATAAAAACCTAACATACGTCCACAAACCACACTCAACCATTCCTTATTGTCCATAACTTTGATCGTCATTAGAGTCCTCTTTGTTTCCACATATTCTCCCCTCGATCCTTCTCATAAGGTCTTCTAACCTTCCTCTTCTATAATCATCTTCTTGGTTTGCCCTTTCTTTTGTCCATCCATACTGCTGGTGGGCTCGAACCGCTATGTCCTCCAGTGCTTGCTCCTGCGCCTCCTTTGCCGCTTTCTGAGCTTCGTATCTCTCCTTTCTCCTTCTCAGCTTTTCCCTCGTCTTCTCCGGGATGGGAACATCCCAATTGGGCCTATGCCTGGTGGTATTCCAATACGCGTATTCCTCTTCCTCTGTCATCTGATCTTCTCTTTTATTATCGTTCAACATTTTTTCAACTTCCTGTTCGTACCCCTTTTCCTTTATCAACTTCATCAGGTCTGACAAGAACTCTTCGTCCCTTTTCTTTTCCAATTGCCCGATGATCCTTTTTTGGGCACGCTGTTCCATCTTACTCATTTTCTTGATGGCGCGTTCCACCGGGAGCCCTTCCCCAAACACGTACTCCGCTTCCTCCGGTGCAGTCCCATCTTCTTCTTGTTGTAGGGGGTCAAACATGTTTGACACATTCATTGTTACACCATGGGCACGGGGCAGCCTATCCTCTACGGCATACTCTTCCTGTCTCAGCCTTCCCCTGCCCCTGCTCCTTCCTCCTGCCTGGCTCCTTCTCACGTTCTCGGAGAAGCTTTCCCATCTTCTTATTCCCACTCTTCCTCCTTCCACCTTCTTCTTAGCCTCCCTCAGCAATTCCAGCTCGTTCTCCATGGGCACTTCCTTTACCTCCCACCACTCGGTTCTTCTCGTTGGCAGCATGGGGTAATCTCTGCTGCCTCCGTCCCTTCCAATGTCTTCCTCGTCCCAATTTTCCCCCAACTGACTTGCTACTATACTCTTAGCTGTTGCGTAAGCAACATTCTTATAAGCCATAACCTTTCTAATTAACTTCTCCCTCTGATGAACCCAACAAGTCTTAGACAGGGATGTATGGTTGCCCCCACAGTTCAGACATACTGGGGTCTTATCACACGTACCATGCTCCCTTCCCAAGCACACAAGGCACTTTTTCAAACTTCTGCATTGCATTTGCACATGGCCGTAAGCAAAATACTTGTAACATTGTTTTACCTGCTCTACATATGGGAAAATACGTAGGGCTACATGGCCCGCGCCAATTTTCAAATCCGTTGGCAGACGGTCCCCTTTCACTGTAACTAATATCGCCACCCCCTCAGTCCAAGCACTTTTACCATCCTTAACTACTTTTTTTTTCATTCTTTCAAATTTAAATTCGCCTTGCCCTGGCATTACGAAATCTTCCAAGTCTTCTATCGAGTCTTCCCATTCGGTGATTACGCCTTTCCTCATTTTCTTCCGTTCTGGGAGAAAAGCCTCGAATCCTGCACCATCCTGCTCCGCCATTTTGAGGATGGCGTTTGCGGCCGCCATATCGCTAAAAGTAAGTTCCGCTTTATTAAAACCCACCATTTTGAGTCCCCGAAGAAAGCGAGACCGCGATCCAAGCATTTTATAGATTTTAACTATATTGTTTCTTTTAAATTTGCTTGTACTCTCCTTCCCAAGTATCATTGTAATCATGTATTCCTTACTTCTCAGCTCTTCTACGTAAAATTGTTTGTTCTCACCTCGCACTCTTCTTCTATTTATTTTTCCTCCTAAGGGTATAGAGTCTTTTTCTGCTATGCCTTCAGTATTCTCACCTTCCGTCGTGCCTTCCGATGATGCCACAGCTTACCGAACCGGTGTGGTCGCTCGTTTTGCACCTACGGGGGGAGTATTATCTACTGCGAGATCTTCACTTTCTTTTCTGTCTCTTTTTGTACCTTCTTCGTTATTCCCCGTCTCTTCCTCTGCCGCCCTTTTCCTTACTTTTCTGAGTTCTTCCAATCCAATCCTTACATTCACCGTACTCTTCAAAGAATGAGCTGTAGGCTCCTTCTTCTTGTTCCCCTTCTTTTTCCCAGGGGTACCACTTTTCTCCTGATCCATCGCCTCCTCACTAGGGGGGGCTGCAAATTCCCTACTCTCCTCTTTACCTTCTTCCACGATCATGCTGGGGTCCCCAGCATCTTCATCCTTACGGTTGGTATCTTTCAACGGTTTTCTACTTCTGTTAAGGATTTCAAAAAATTCCCTAGCCTCGGGATCCTCCTCTAAATATTCAACCTCGAATTCAACCATACTTAGATTGAGTTCTTCCGTCTTTTTTTCTAATTTTCCAGTTCTTTCCCCTTCACTCTTGCTCCTTTTCTTCTTCTCTACACTTTCCTTCTTTATTTTCCTAACGATCCTTATCCCAACATCTCCTCCCTGCGACACTGTCTTGTCGCAGGGAGAAACCGCACCCTCCTTATTCACTTTTCTCTCTTGGGCTCGCCTTCCCAGGAATGAGCGACCCCAAGAGGAAACACTTTTGTACAGGAAAAACCCCCTAAAAAAGTACTAATGAAAACTCAAGTTCCCAGACCAATCCCTCCTTAAAAACTTCCTAATCACGCGTGTCACTTCTCCGTACATCCGTTGTCTACCCAAACCATTACTGAAAGTATAATGTCATGTAGAGAGCTGTAGGGAACGATGTAAAAATCCCTGAAGTTAAGTTGGTAATCGACCGAACTCTGGTCTAAAATTCGATTGGAAATACGAGTATGCACGACGAGCAGTAGAACTTCGAGTCGGCTCGGTTTGGCTCGGCAAAACTCGGGCGCGATCGGCAGAGAGACAAACATACTCGTTTAGGGGCCGCGCGAGATACGTTTGCGCGGGCACCACGGCCACGTCATGGGATTAATAGTACAGTAATGCTCGATTAAATTTCACTATGTTCGGGAGTCAGCAGTGAAATTATCGCGAGCAGGGTAGCGTTTGTATTCCAAGAATTGACTCGAGCAGAACTTGACAGAGTAAGAGAATAGATACCATAGGAGGAAGCGAGATAGACATACTACGTCTAGCAGCGACGATCGAGGCACGGCACTTCAAAGAGATGCCGCGAGTGAAAAATGTGACCATGCAATAACGAGAATTTCACTATCAGTAATTTCCAACCTATTTTTATGAAAATTATACCACCGGATCATTGAGATTCTTCTGATTAAAATGAGTCCAAACACGACGTAAATCGGATCTTATTTATGTTATCTAATAAATACATAATGAATCACGTAAAGCAGGCCTGTCCAAGTAGGGGAAATTACTCCTAGAACACATGTTTTTGGTCCCCTTCCAACGCTGCTCCTTCAAGTAAGGTGGGACGGTTCCGACTACCGTCTCTCCGTCTTTCCTACCGTCTTTGGTAGTCGGAACCGTCCCATCTTACTTGAAGGAGCAGCGTTGGAAGGGGACCCAAAACATGTGTTCCAGGAGTGGATTCCCCTACTTGGACAGGCCTGACGTAGAGTAAATCATAATGGATCATGTAGAGTAAATATGGTTCAAATTACAGTAAAACCTGGAAAAATGCAACGAAAGAATTGCTTGGATAAGTGCAACATCGCTATCCCCTCCACTTGGGGGGATCTCCCTAGACGAACCGAGCCGCTCAACGAGAAAACCGTGTAATATGATCCGACCGTAATATCGGTGTGACTAATACTAATTGAACGATAAAACTTTTTTATTTTTAACTTTTTCTTAATGAAACTTTTACTAACGCATTTGTGAGATTTTTCTGATTAAAATGGTACCAAACACGATATGATTTGAATTATATTTATTTATTAAAATAATAATAAAACTGTACATATGTATAAGGCAGGCCGTACACCAATGATACATCAAACACGCAACATGCAACATGCAACACGTCGCATGTTGTGTACGAACGTAGAATAGGTATCGCGGCACGGTACAAACGATTTGTACGAACGTAAAATAGATATCGCGGCACGGTACAAATGATTTGTACGGACGCAGAATCGATACCAAGACTGGATATATGCAACGTTTAAATGCCCAGAATCAACACCTCGGATGGATATATGCAACGTCTGGGTCCCAATGTTTGTTGCATATATCCAGCTTTTACTGTACTACAATTTAGGCACTCAGGAAGTGACCTGTATCTGGTTTGAGAGTGCCCAAATTTGCCACAGTTCTTGCATGTTCTTACCCTTTCAATGTCAGGTTCTATGTTCTTGTTGAGAAGTCCATACAATTGTATTTTAGTTGGGAGAGTTGACCCCTCGAAAGTAATAAGGACTGTTTCGCTGGGAACCCAGGAAACCTCTTTGGTGGTAGAATCAACCTGTCTTCTGTCCATCCGCTTGGCCTGGATTATCTTGCATGGGGTTACTGCTAGATCCAGGAGGTCCTCGATTGGATATTCCAAGCTAAAGCCTTTCAGCAAACCTTTCCTTTCTACAGAGTGACGAGGCACAAAGGCCTCCAGACCATGCTCTTGTTACGTCCCGGCGGAAAATTTGAAATTTATCCGCCTTGCGTTCCTTATCAAGCCCTTTTGGGTTACGAGAATCTCTCATGTAAAGGGTGTACAAAGAAGAGTTTGAGCTTAATTCTTTTCAACAGTTTACGTGACCCTCCTTGAAACTATCGTCGCCAGCCATTGTAACATAAGACAGTAATACGCACAAAAACTCGGGTTAGCTCGAGAGAGAGAGAGAGAGAGCCGTAGCAATAACACCAGCGCTACGCAGTTAGCCAGTGCTTCGCATTCCGGGAATTTCCCTTGCTAACTGCGTAGAAACGGAAAAATCGTAATAATTCTTTTGTTGGAAAACCCTTTCTCTCTCTATTGCACAAAACGTCAGCCGGTCCAACAAGGATCATCATTACCTGATTGTAATGATAGTATAAGAGAGTGGATGGATGAAACCGAATTTAAACAATGAAAGTAAGAATTGAGAACCCTTACGAAAGCGAACGTCGCGAACGTTCGACCGCCGTTCGAAAATTAAGGGTCGTTCGAAGCAATAAACACTATTGTATCGAAATTCTAAGAACTGCCTAGCGATAATGGCAAATTTTGAACAAAGGAACGTTCTCGAAGGAACGTTCGCCAGATTTAGAATTGTTTAAAATTCACAGAATGCGAAATGCCGAATTTATCAAGGCGATAGTTTAATGTGCGATAGATTGTTGTAAAATGCATAATTCGCCACGGCATCACAACCACCGTAAGCACATTGTCCGCTTTTAAACATATTAAATCAGGCTATCTTTATTGCAAATCAGGAAAATGTATAATTTTGATCATCATATACGGATGACGGTTTCCTTTATCATAACCTGTATATTTCAAATTCAAATCTTATTCTACAATTAACCAAATCAATAGTTATATCTCAATTAAATACAATTATACATGTAAAGAGAAATACTGCGTAGTTTCTGAAAACCGTTGAAACTATCATGGCGACGAACAAGAAAAGGAAGGAACACCAAAGAAAGGGGATGAAAGATCTTCGTCTAGCTCGCGCGTCTTAGCCAATCACCGGGCACGCGACACTTCCGAAAACGGGCTACGATTCGCCAAACCGTCCCCTCCAAGGACGATGTTCGCGCGACGGGCCCTTCGGCCATCGATCGCGCACGAAATTTGTTACTCTTGATCGATCAATCGTAAGTACGTGATCGGGAGCCCGTGTGTCCGAGAGACAGAGTTGTTCGGAATTTCGTGATAGATTTCCTCTGCGGTAAAGTCCTCCGCGTAGCGAGGCAGAGTGCCGTGGTAGTTGAAATAATCCGATTCTTAACAAGGACACACAGACGCGCACGTTAAATCTTCCCTCTACCTATCATTTCTTTCTTTTTTTTTTAAACCGTTTGCTCGCGCGTATTCTCGTATTAACTTCACTCCGCGTAAATTATATATATTGATCGTTTCCGTAATAAATCGTAGTTCATAATTCGTTATTCGTTTGTCTCTCGTCGACGTACTCGTCCGTAATAATCCGTTTCCGCCGCGACAAGTGCAGTGATCGACATCTTACCGTTTCTTTGGTGTTCCAGATCATCAAGCTAATACACAGGATCTAGCAAGCGAAAATTATAATCTTGTATTGTATTAAACAGCGTAACGGTAAGTCGTTTCAACTACATTTTTCGATCACGACGTTTATCAATTGGCAAAACGGGCGATCTGGTCCAGCCCTTCGGGGTTACGAGAATTTCTCAGGTCAGATCGTTCCACCGTATCAGGTATCAACTGATTTCAGTATTAATTTTTTTTGTTTATTACAATCTCGAAATTCCAATTTCTCTTTCCCGTCATCAAAAGGGCACCTTAGTCCAGCTCTTTCGAGAGTTACGAGAATTTCTCAGGCTGGGGTGTACCGCGGGCGGAAACCGCCAATTTTATAGTTAAATTTGGAGAGCGAAATTGTGATGATCATTTTTACGTGTCCGGTAATATACTCGTCGGTTTCAGTTGTGATATTAGAGCGCCTTATACAGTCATATTTGGTTAATTAATTTTAAGCATCTTTACATTTGTTCACAATTTTTGCAAAACTGGTATCTTCTCTACTAACAGAATTTCTAAGTTATTACACTCTCAATTTTGGCATTTCACGGTTACCAAATCATCTGATTTTCATTCACAATTAAACCAGTTTCATTTAGTTGAACAGTTTCAATTTATTTCAAACACACCTCACACATTTCAGCCAAACACGCCTACCAACTCACACAGGTTCAAGGAGGGACCCGTACGGGACCAAGCGTTGAACGAACCCAACGAAAGGCTAATAATTATAACTTCTTAACATCTTATCAATTCGTCTTTCGTCTTTTAATTTGTCGAGAGCGTTAACACGCTCGAGACTGGTGGCAGCGATACCAACCATCGCGCTAAAATAGGAAAGCAGGAATTACGGGTTGAATTCCAACCGATTAACTGAAATTTAACCACCTATATCCTCCAATTTTTATCCTTTCCCTTTTACGTTGCGGCATCGCACGCGCAACGTAACACTCTCCTACCTTTGGAGATAAGATCAGCCTGTTTGCCTCCATACCGTTGTTGAACATGGCTTCTGCTTTGTTGAAGCCTCTGGGACGCAGTTGATGAGCTCCTGCCTTCATTGAATGTAGCGCTTTAGCAATTGCTACCATGTTGTGACTCCTACTTTTCTTACAATGCGTTTCAGCTAGGCGAATTTCAACCAAGGCTGGGCCACTGTGAGCCTCAGGGTATATTCTTACAGTAGGAATATTTTGTATGTTATTAGTATTTTTCTTTTTCATATTTTCTTTCTCGTCCCCTACTGGGGAAGGGCACTTTCTTTTGAGCGGTTCCAAAAGGATGCTGTTACCAGGTTTCTTTTTTCTGGGATTAACCACAGTCCACACCACTTCTGCTTCCGTCTCCATTGTGATGCTCTGAACCTCTCCCGGTCCCGCAGGGCCAGGGAGAGGAGAATGCGGGTGTACTCGCAACAGGTTAGCGTGGGTAAGCTAACCTCAAAATTCTGCGAGGACAAATTGCCGTGTGTATTACTTTCTCCAACCCGAAGGGTTCCTTTTTCCTCTTCGCAAAAGCACTTCTTGAGACTCTCCAATTGCCTTTCTTGCGCCAATACTGCGTTTCAGTTAAAAATTTCAAAATCACTCGGATTCACCATTCACCACCCAATGTTCATCGATAGATTTTCCGAGATCTAAAAGATACATTTGTGGCGCCCTCAAACCTCGCGCCATCTAGCGGTCACAGAAGGGAGCAAACCTTCCAACCGCGCCCTCTTTTCTAGGGTGCTTGGGGCCTGACGCCCTCGCTTCAACGCACCCCTATTTTTCCCTTTACTCACTCTGTACTTTTCCGGCAACGCGATCGGAAGTAAAAGACACGCGTCTTTCCTACTTCCATCGCCATCTTCGATATCGCGAGTCTTTGTTAATAAAAAGTATCACAACGTAATCATTTCATCTTGTGTTTTATTTATTCATTGACATTAGTGTGGTGCCCGCGCAATCGCATCTCGCGTGGCCCCTAAACATTCTTATACAATATAAATTATATTATTATTACACTCATATATATTGAGTATAGTAAAACTTGTTTATGACATTATTATACTTAGATTGTATTATTTCTAAAATAGATAAGGAATCAGAATTTTTCGGGATTTTGGATAATTCTGAAATGTTTGTATGTACCATTTGTGGGTCAATCCTGCAGTAGATGTCTAAAAGAAAAAATATAAATTATTAATATACAATATATATTGTATTTTTAAGAATTGATGAGTTTTTATATATTTTGAAAATGTACATACCTGATTTACCAAGACCCAAATTGTAATGTAATGAAATGTAAAACTTTCCCATAGAATTATAGACATTGTTATATAAATAATTATCTCTGTAATTTGTAATGCACCTGATACATATTCAAAAAGGCCACCATGTGGTATTTTATATATCGTGGAATTAATTCCATTATCTTTATTCTTTCGTAAATTTCGAAGAATAAAGTTAGTCTTAAGTTGAGTATATGAGAACAGTATAAAAATCATTCCACACACTAGTTGTAGATACGTTATTCTTTTCCAAGAAAAGTTTCCACTTGAACCTAAATGAAAAATTCAATATCTTAGTAGTATCTGAGAGAAATTTAATCGAACATTGTATCGCTACCTTCAACAAATCCTTTAGATTCACCAATAATGCATATCAAGCTTCCTACATAATGATAAAGTCCAACTATATAATGGGAGATATTCATCATTTTATTACTAAAAATATTTACACATTGTGTTTCATACAATCGTTTCCAACAATGCAAGGTGAAAAGTACAGCAGCTACAAATGTATTTTCTGCTGGTACTAAAAAAAATAGTAGTTAAATAAAGACCTGATTTGTTGAAATAATATTTATAATGACTGTTGAGTATTTGATTTACCTAATGGTTTTCTAAGTTGTCCTAAACACATGTTTAGCATCCATATCACATGTCTAGGGACGTCAGTGTTCCAGAAGTATTTGCAAATAATTAAATACAATACGTAACTGGAAGCTGGTGCAGCAAAAATGTAGAAATGTTTGAACCATCTAAAGTTTCATTGATGTAGTCCATTGAAGTAAATACATTGGTAAATTGTTCATTTGTATTCAGTTGTTGTTAATTAACATAGATCATTGTTAATAAATGTGCTCACCTCTTAGGTACTTCTACTTGTGCAACCATTGGTTGATACTCCTTTGCCGAAAATTTACCGTAGCGGTAAGTACGAGTTATTAAAGTAGGTAGATGCTTCTCCACATAATTCAATAGTAATCCAATAATACCAGTAAGTGTAAAAACCAGGATAAATATAACACGTATAAAATTTATCTGCATTTTATATTTAATTTTGTTCAAATTGTGAAAATATAATATGTTTACACTTAGAACAGTCTTGTACAGTTTATCTGTACCACACAACAGTAATTCTGTCCCACTTTTACATAAACCGGGTTACTGTAACAGTTGAAACATACAGATTATACGTAACTGAATTATGTTCTAATTAATTCTGAAGATTTCAAAGGAACTTCTAAAAATGATACATATACTGGACAATCTCAGAAGTTTTATTTGAGTTACATAAATATTTACACTTGTAGTAGTGAAATTAACTACAATTGTAGTAAAAAATTAATTATCATAGTTTGTAAAAATGGATGGAATTGTTTAACCCCTTGGCCTATGTTTTTCTCGATAGTTGTAGATAGTTTTCAGACACAGCTAACTATTAATTACTTCAATAAAGAAAACTAAAATATCATGCATACATAGCATTCAACGATCCATGACTGAGCAAATTAGAATTAGAATTCAATTCAAAATTCAATCATACTAAAAAATACCAAACAAAAACACATTTGAACTGTAAATTGCGTCATGAGTATGTCACGATATTGTAGGGCAAGGGGTTAATTGGTGTATAGATTTATAAGAAATTAATTCACAATTCTATTATATCAAACTTTAAGTATTATGTACTATAATACTTTTAAAAATGCATGATACATAAATAATTAAAACAATTAAATATTACAATGTCTCAAAATATATCACATTTTAACTTTAATTATAAATAAAATAAGTAACTGCATTGTAACTTATTAATTCGTCTGAATATACACGAACATAGTGTTATATTATATTTGGTGTTTGAAATCTATCATCAACACGAACTTCTATCCTAAAAATTAAGCAATCATTTTGTAAGAAATCGGGTAAATCTCGTATTCGTACGAATTCAGTGTAACCAAAACTACGTTTATTTAATTCACACACTGGTTTTCTAAATGCTTCAAGATCAGGCCTAGATGAAGTTATTTCTCGTATATCCTTCTCTGAATCGTGTGGATTTACCAAAATAAAACACATTGTTCCATTGAATGGCCAATCTAAACCATCATCACTTTCTGATTTCATTATATGTAAAAGCAGTGATAAAAATTCTGGATCTTTAGAAGAAACGTTAATTCTAGCACAAATTTTATAACCGTTAAGACTAGTATAAAAACCAGGACTATAAAACATTTTTAGCGAATCATTCATCATACTACGAAGCTTTTCTTGGAAAGAATGTAATCTCCAAATATAAACACCATTACAACTACGTAAGAACAATTCCTCTTGATTAAATCGTAACGAAGTTTGTAAAGTTGTAAGTTGAGTTTTCTGATTAGAAATCGTTATAGACAATTCTCGGTTTTGCTGTTCCAGTAGTACTATCCGTTCATACAAATTTCTGGAAAAACAAATTAACTTTAAAATAGTTTATAATGATAGAAATATTTCATTCGATGCATATAGAATTTACTTCAACAATTGTTGCCATTCTAATGATGGTTCTGGTTTTTCTAAAGAATTTGCACTTTTAGATGGTGGATCCCATAGTTTAGATTCAGCAACCATTGCGCTAACGTTATTCTGTGAAGTAGATACCTGTGGTAATGCCTTTAACACCATCTACAAAATAAACGAAAACCAAATTGTTAATACCATAATTAATCGCGATTATATAAAATAATAATAAACTAACAGTTAAATGATGGTTTATATTTCTTTCTAAATGTGTATGTAAATTTTCCTCTGTATAAAAAGTCTCTGAGCACCCAACATTTTTAAAGTGACAATGCATAATTTGTGAATCTGGAAGACTTCTTTTATACATGCACTGATTTATGTGTGCTTCCATATCCACCGGAGATAACTTAACTTCGCAACCAAATTGTTGATATGGACACCGAGTACGCTGTTGAGATATTTCTCTACTCGTATACAGATCTCTGAATAAATCACTTTCAGATTTCAATGGTTTACTATCAACTGGACAACAAGCTCCCTCCTTTCTATAAAGTAGAACTTAAATTAATGAATGTAAATTACAGATGTCATGAGTTATATATGGTTTTGTTAATTTGTTACAGTGAAATATAACTTACTGAAGCCAAGTATATATACATTGCGAACAGAATTTATGACCACAAGATGTTAAAACTGGATCACGTAGCCAAGTTAAACAAATAGGACACTCGAATCTAGGCTCAAGGTATTCTTTCACACCATCACCACACTGCACGTAACAGTTAAATCACCAATGCAAAATGAAAAATAAATGCGTTAACACAAAATGGTAAGCAAAACTTTGGAAAATATATTGTAAACACAACGCAATAAAATTCATTTAAATAAAAGTGATATAACTACAATATCGCTGACAACATTTGCTATTGCAAATTTAATACAGTAGTAGATATACGTACGAGAACATTTTCTTCGGCAACTTTATGTTTTGTAAGATCGTCGGAATTTGCCATTATCTGTAAGAATATACATCAATTTAATTTAAACAATTCATCAGTTTTATGTCAAAACTGATGACTGAAATGAAAAAGCCAGAGATGAAGATGTATCAGTAATTTTAAGTTGCAAAATCTGTAACTTACTTGTAATTATAAATAATTAGTATTCATATGGAACCTTTATTTATTTCAAGCTTGAATATTATTTAAAGTTGCATGTAAATTCCTGTATAAAAGAAACATGTATTTTTATTATTGGATTAAAAGATAACGTTATCACACGTTGGTGCCTTTGCTGACAATATAAGCGAGAAAGAAACCAAAAGAAACCAAAAGAAACATTCCTTTCTTCTTCAGCTTTGTTGGGAACCTCGCCTGTATGTATATATGTACATACATATGAGTGCAGTGTCGTGTGAATTTAGCTGTAAACCTGTAATTGCATGTGTAACGTGAAACGTTATCACGTGAAATGTTTAGAGTGGTGTGGCGACACTGCCATGGGAATATTTATCGATAATCTATTGTATGTACTGTTGCGTGTCCGACGCGGAAAATAGGGATATTCGGAGATTTAGGTGCAGGTGTGACAGTCCGTGGAGCGCAGAGGCGCTCCGCTCTCAAGGCGCGGATATACAAAATAGTAAACTGTAATTTTGTTTAGAGTACTTTAATACTTTGTATTTCAATTTAAATCGGAACTTTAAACTTTGCGTTATTAAGGCTTAGACCCTTCTGAGTGAGAACGACTTGTTCGTAACGAGTGACAAAATCATTCTAACAATTCTGCGCTTGGCGGAGGAGATCTTCGCGCGTTGTCGGTCGATGCCCCATCCTTGGTGGATCCTGGATCCTCCCTCAGGATCATCCCTCGTCCAATGGTGGAGGAGTCCACCCCGTCTCGTGTGGGCCCCTTCTCCTGGCTGTGGTCCACCCTCAAGCGCGTGGAAGTGGAGGCGCTCCGCCAAGACGCTAGAATGTTGCAGCGCACATGTGCTACGAGAAAGCGTGGGACCCAGAGAAATTAGGAAACGACAAGACCTTGTACCAGAGTTGCCAAAGCAACTCTCGAGGAAATTTACGACCCTCTCAGAGTGCATGAATAGACAGGATATCGAAAAAGACTTCGTAGCTTTTAAGGACCGTTCGTGACTTGGTCGAAAACAACGAATTGGCTATGGTCTATCATAAATTAGTTTTTTAGGAATTTTCAAAGTGAAACTATTCCATTCTCTGGACTTCCGGCCTTCTCTCAGCTCTATCACCCACGTCGAGGGGTTTACAATTTACTCTTTGTCTATTTATATAAGGGTACGCATAGACGATGTTCGAATTTCGCTCTTAATTTATGACCATCGATACAAAGGTCCTCAAAGAACATTCAAGACATATCGATACAATAGACTATCGATAAATATTCCCATGGCAGTGTCGCCACACCACTCTAAACATATTCACGTGATAACGTTTCACGTTACAGTACATATTGTTGCGTGTGGATTTAATGTTCTAGGGATTTTCTTTATAAAAGGCCGAACGTGGGTAAGGTGCCCGTGAAGCGCTGAAGAGCTTTGCTCGTGGCACGGCCTTTAATAAATGAAAACACTTTGCGTTTAAAAGATATTTTTGGTAAATACTTTATTATTTGCTTTTCAAAATCTAGTCGGGTTGAAGCTTTGAATCGTTCTGAGCTTGGCGGTGAAGATCTTCGATCGATGTTGGCTGCCATCCCCTCCTCGCTGGATCCTGAATCCTCCCTCAGGATCATCCCTGGCCCAATGGTGGAGGAGTTCATCCTTGTCCGGAGGCGGTCCCTCTCCCTGGCTTCGGTCCACCCTCAGGCGAGTGGAAGATGGTGGTGCTCCGCCAAGACTCGAGAACGATTCCATGCACACGTGCTAAGAGAAAGCGTGGGATCCAGAGAGAACGAAAGATAAAAAGGTCTCGCGCTAGCGAGCCAAGGCAACCCTTAAGAAAATTTACGACCCTCTGTAAATAAGCAGGATGTCGAAGTGACTTCGACAGTTTCAAGAATCAACATGATTTTCGTTAAGAGTAATGAATTAGATACGGCCCGCAATATATTAGTTTCTTAGAAACTTCAAGTGTGACAGTCTTATTTCTCTGGTTTTCCAACTCTCTCCCAGCACGACCACCCGCGCTGAACGATTTACAATGTCCTTTCCTTTGTTTGTTTATTACTTTGAATTTTGGCTCCTAATTTATGAGCATTGATATAACAATGCAGACATGCTGCAACCATACTCTTATGGCATCGTCGCCATATTACATTTCATTCAATGCTTGTGATTACAAGCTTGCAGCTAAATTCACACGATATTGCACACATACATACAGGCGAGGTTCGCAACAGTATCGATATGTCTTGAATGTTCTTCGAGGACCTTTGTATCGATGGTCATAAATTAAGAGCGAAATTCGAACATCGTCTGTGCGTACGTTTATATAAATAGACAAAGAGTAAATTGTAAACCCCTCGACGTGAGTGATCGAGCTGAGAGAAGGCCGGAAATCCAGAGAATGGAGTAGTTTCACTTCGAAAGTTCTTAAAAGACTAATTTATGATAAACCATAGCCAATTCGTTGTTTTCGACCAAGTCACGAACGGTCCTTAAAAGCTACGAAGTCTTTTTCGATATCCTGTCTATTCATGCACTCTGAGAGGGTCGTAAATTTCCTCGAGAGTTGCTTTGGCAACTCTGGTACAAGGTCTTGTCGTTTCCTAATTTCTCTGGGTCCCACGCTTTCTCGTAGCACATGTGCGCTGCAACATTCTAGCGTCTTGGCGGAGCGCCTCCACTTCCACGCGCTTGAGGGTGGACCACAGCCAGGAGAAGGGGCCCACACGAGACGGGGTGGACTCCTCCACCATTGGACGAGGGATGATCCTGAGGGAGGATCCAGGATCCACCAAGGAAGGGGCATCGACCAACAACGCGCGAAGATCTCCTCCGCCAAGCGCAAAATCGTTAGAATGATTTTGTCGCTCGTTACAGACAAGTTGTTCTCAAACAGCATTTTTCAAAGGGTTACAATTTCAAAGTTAAAAGGGCAGTTTAAATAAAACTTTTAAAGCATTAAAGCTTAGTAAAGCGAAATAATAGTTTTATTTCCGCGCCTTGCGAGCGGAGCGCCTCCGCGCTCCACGGAGTGTCACACCTGCACCTAAAATCCCTAAACATCCCTATTTTCCGCGACACACGTGTTGCGTGTCCGTTCGCGGACAATAGGGATTTCTGGGGATTTAAGGCGTAGGTCAGGCCACAGCCGAATATGAGCCGACTCTAGTATTGTAAGCGTCTACTAAGTTGAGACTCGAGGTGTGAAACGCTCCGCCTAATCCTCACCTCGAACCCTCGTCTAGTAGTAGTAGTAGTAGTAGTAGTAGTAGTTTCTACTAGTAGTTGTAACCTAGAGAGCGAATAGCGAGAATGCGTGTGGGTCAACTGTATAAGTGTGCGTGTCTAAGTCTGGCCCATCTAGTTCCGACCAATCAGACCCAATTCCACAGCCGACTCTAGTACTAGCCGTGCTGAAGTAAAAATGGCAACACCGCGAGAGTCCGGTCTGAATATATCAACACCTACCCTACTCTATCTGCCTCCCGGACTCCCAGACTCTCAGCCAATCAACGTCGTCAGACTCCCGACACTCTCTGGACTTCACATAACCTCTTTGGTTTCGATCCAATCATTTCGCTTGTTTCAAGGTTTTTATTAACTTATATACACGTTTATCAATTCTTAAATGTTTCAATTTGATCCAAAGATGGTTTCATTTTGCTTCATACCTAAATTTTCTTGAAACCACTGTAAATATTTCAAATATCATGCTTCACAACACCAAACTACTGTGAGAGTACACAAAATATATATCACATTTATAACAATTTTATACTACCACATCACTTCTATTTGCCATAGTTGCAACGTTTATATATTGTTTATACATAATTAACACAAAATAGTGTATATTACTACAGCTTTTAATTAAAAAGGACGTTAATTACAATTCCGAGCACAGGACTCTGTTTTTGAAAATAGGACTCCCGATTGTCACGTGAGCGGTGTTGCCACGTTGTTCAGCATGGCTAGTACTAGAGTCGGCTGTGCCAATTCCTTAGGAGTCTCAACTTAGCAGACGCGTACAGTACTAGCCGTGCTGAAGTAAAAATGGCAACACCGCGGGAGTCCGGTCTGAATATATCAACACCTACCCTACTCTATCTGCCTCCCGGACTCCCAGACTCTCAGCCAATCAACGTCGTCAGACTCCCGACTACTCTCTGGACTTTACATAACCTCTTTGGTTTCGTTCCAATAATTTCGCTTGTTTCAAGGTTTTTATTAACTTATATACACGTTCATCAATTCTTAAATGTTTCAATTTGATTCAAAGATGGTTTCATTTTGCTTCATACCTTTTTCTTGAAACCACTGTAAATATTTCAAATATCATGCTTCACAACACCAAACTACTTCGAGAGTACACAAAATATATATCACATTTATAACAATTTTATACTACCACATCATTTCTACTTGCCATAGTTGCAACGTTTATGTATTGTTTATACATAATTAACACAAAATAGTGTATATTACTACAGCTTTTAATTAAAAGAGACGTTAATTACAATTCCGAGCACAGGACTCTGTTTTTGAAAATAGGACTCCCGATTGTCACGTGGGCGGTGTTGCCACGTTGTTCAGCATGGCTAGTACTAGAGTCGGCTGTGGTCAGGCCTGTCCAAGTAGGAGAAATTACTCCTGGAACACATGTTTTTGGTCCCCTTCCAATGCTGCTCCTTCAAGTAAGGTGGGACGGTTCCGACTACTGTCTCTCCGTCTTTCCTACCGTCTTTGGTAGTCGGAACCGTCCCATCTTACTTGAAGGAGCAGCGTTGGAAGGGGACCCAAAACATGTGTTCCAGGAGTGGATTCCCCTACTTGGACAGGCCTGCCCTAGGCGAACCGAGACGCTCCACCAGGAAGCCGTGTAATATGATCCGAATCGTAATATCGGTGTGACTAATAGTAATTCAACGATAAAACATTTTTATTTTTAACTTTATTCCATGTTTGATTGTGAGTCGAGCAACACACGGTGCGATTGATAGCAAAAATTGTAAAAGTAACTAAGTCGCGGTATTTTCAGTGTTAGATTTGTATACCACGAAAAAATAAATATCTAAAATTACCACAATAGTACATACAAATTTGTCCACTGCTTGACACAGTCTGCGACCTTTCAGAATATTCGGGGTCTGTTTTCTGTTATAAAGTCTTGCCATAAAACTTTGAAAAAGAAAGGACAGTCAATGATGGGTCATGATGGGGTATGTGCGGGCAATGACGCATTCAGAATTTGTTCTTGGAGGGAGCTAAGCTGAACGAATAAAACTATTTTTAATACAAAAAACAGTGTTATTAATATGTGACATAAACAGTAACACTAATTTAATTAGGAACAGATTTTGGAAAATTTTCTGTTGTTCTCCTTCCTTTTTCTTTGGGGGATGCTAGAGCCCCTTAGCTCCCCCTTGAGTGCGCCAGTGTCAGCGCGGGGTATGCAAGGACGCGAACTTACAAACGTTTGGGACGTTCGACTCTGTTCACCACATGGCAGAATAAGGGAATATATTAAGCGCTTAGTATGTCATTCTCTGTTAAAAATGCCCACTTCCGCTACCTGTGAAAAAGGTAAAAATGCCCACCTGTTAACAGTATGCTAAGAGACGAATCTCTGTTAACAGTTAAATGATATTTTTGGTTTAAGAACCATTATTTTATAAATATAACAATAATTTTCGAATTATTTTTTATTCAATTCTTCTATTTTTTTCTCACAATGTTAGGGACCAAATATTCTTATTTTTCATATATTTATTTAATATCGATTATTACAATAATTGTATTATTGTATTATAATAAAAATGTAATCCAATTATAAGGTAAAATATAATTGTTTTCCAAGCAGCACCGACGATATCATTATTGTACTGTGACAAAGCCAAATCATCTCGTTGGTGGTACAACAGTTTTTTTCGGCGGTACAATGGGTAATATCACTATTCTACATTATCCATCATTCCTATTTACCGATCGCACCCCAGGCCCACTGGGCCCATTTGGCGTGCCGCACTTTAACACAGGGGTTGGCAGTCTTTAACAGTATCTCGTCGGTGGTGTGGTCCGGGCACCGGTTTACCTGTGGCAAACGGGGCTCTGGCTGTGGACGTTAAGCGCCTGGTGCGTGTAACTGGGACCACTCAGGTTAGCTTGATAAAGTAAATGCGTCCTAGAGCAAAACTCCTTAAGCCGAGTATCCACCTGTATCCAACGCCCGTATCGTATCACCGTTCCGAACCCTTTTGAATAGGCAGGCGTTGCCCCGTTGCATGCAACGGCATGCTGTGGCTCGGACAACATTTCTTCGTTTCTTGATAAAAACGGTTAGGCAATAGGACTGGGCCACTACAGGCGAGGAGTTTCGTTTCGCTGTGTGCCGTTCCAAAGGAACGGAGGCAACGGACCCATCCGAAAAATTTCTTGGTTCTTTGCCGTTCCATCGAAGGAAAGGTTCATGCGTTTACACTTGACATAGCGTTTCGTGCCGTTACTTGGGTTTCAATTTATTTGAAATCTTGCGGTATTATTGGATTCATTTCAAAATCGATGAAATTATTTATGAACTTAATCTAATTTAATTTAGACAAATTTTATCGTTTAAATGTATTGAAACAGATCAATTATCTTCGGCGATACGCTGTTCATAAAACAGCAATGTTAATAATCAGCTGTGTCATTATTGAAAAAGGACAATGTTAATTTTGTAGAGATTTTTCCGTTGCCGAGTATCCGAAGTTCTATTGGGCTGTGATACGGAGGTGAAGGAACGGGCCGATCCGAAAATTGTCGGTTTTTTGCCGTTCAAAGGATAGGTTCGGAGACCACTTGAAACGTAAAAGCAACATACCCAGGCGAAGGCCCGAAATGCTATGTCAAGTGTAAACATGACTCTTGAGGCACGAGATCTGGAATCTGGAATCGGATATATCAGTGAGATAATACTAATGCAACGACTGAACTTTGTTATTTTTCATTTTTTTCTTATAAAACTGTTACCAAGATATTTGTGACGTTTTTCTGATTAAAATGATACCAAATACGATATGGTTTGGACAATTCTTATTTATAATAGTATTTCCTACAGTGTGATTCTCTTGCTACGCAAGACAAAAGCCGTGCCGCATAATGGAACCCCTGCTGTTTGGAAAATTGGAAATGATTTTTATTACATCTGAAAGTTAAAGGAGTAAATTTAGGAATCGGTTTATAACTTAGAAACATAAAATAGGGAAAAAATATGTTATTATGACAGGGTTTCGAGTTTACTTAATCCGTTTATTACTCGAAGAGGTCATCGTTTATTACCCTTGTTGCTTTCATTGGACTGGTACTACCTGTGTACCATGCAAATTCGGTACCTCCACGCGGACTAGGAGGTACCTTCGCGTTTGCAAAACGCAACCAATCAGAAAAATTACAAATTTACCCCCGACGACGAATTTTAACCAATACAGGAAGTGGAAGTTTCTACACCGAAACCCCCACCACGATTAGGAAGTTATATATTTCTCATCAATACGGAGAAAGATTAGTTGCCGTTTACACTGCAGTCACCATGGATTTTAGTAAGGCAGAAATTCTCACCTTAATTGAAGTGTACCGATCCAAGAGTGTGTTGTGGGACCCCAAAAACTGCGATTATTTTAATAAATTAAAAAAAGAAGATGCGTGGGAGGAATTAAGCGCAGAAATAGAAAAACCTAAAGCAATATGTAAAAAAAAAATAGAATACCTCCTCGCAGGTTTGAGGAGGGAAAAGTTGAAAATAAAAAGAAGTGTTGGCACCGGAAAGGGTAAGTACTTTTTATCACACATTCATGAATTGAAAGTTAGAAATATTTGGTACTTTATACAGTATTACACATCAGAAAACAGTGCGGCTCAATTTAACTTTCTATCGTTATTTTGTTTGTAGGAACACAAGAAGTATATAAAAGCCAATGGTTTGCATTCGAAAGTATGCAATTCCTATGGGATAAAAATAAATCTAGGAGGACATTAAGTACGGTACGCAAACCTTCAATTATTTTTTCATTTTTTCCACAATTCATAAAAGCATACTTTATTAGCAACAAATTAGAAACAATACTTGTTTTCAGATGGAAGATGAAGTACAAATCGTAAGTCCAGAGGCGGTAGAAGATGAGGTGACAGAGCAGTCATATATGGGGCAGAATGTAGAGATGCTTGGGGGAAGTTGTACAGTATTAATTTTATTTCTGTAAGTCATAAACCGATTCCCAAAATTCCTCTTTTAACTTGCAGATGTAATAAAAGTTGTACAGTACTAATTGTAAGCGACGGACTCCTATAGTAAAGAAACAGCATGCAGCAAATCGAAACTTCTCGCCTATAGGAGTTTCTTTCAAGAAACGAAGAACTATTGTCCGAGCCGTAGCCTGCCGTGGCATGGAACGAGGCAACGCCTGCCTATTCAAAAGGTTCGGAACGGTGATACGATACGGGCGTTGGATACAGGTGGATACTCGGCTTTACACGCCGACAAAAAGTCTAGCGTTGGGTCTTCCGTACCTGAATACGATGATTTGAAACACATGAGTTGACAGTTTTTCCACTCCCCGCCACCTGGGTGGTGATGGTTGCTGGGGAGTGGATAGTTAAGTGCATATACCCAAACGGGTGAGGTGGCATGTTCGCGCTTGTCCTCGGACGGCCGAATTTACATTAAACTGTTCGGTATGAATCCACTGTCGGTAATTGCGTGCTCTTCTTACCTTCACCTCACTTCACGCATATGATCGTACTTGACTAAATCGCAAAGATCTCGGAACAGATCAATGAATTAAAATCAAGCTTTTAGAGTTAATACAACACAATAATATTTAACAACAACAAGATCAACCAAAGATATTACAGCCGAAAAGGGGAAGGCGTACAAACGCGTAACACAACTAACTTGGAATTAAACAGTTTAAATGAAACACAAAACAGGTATAACTCAAAAGTTCATGTGAACACTAAACACACTTTAAAAGGAAACTCAACAAGAGAAAATACAGCAAGGGATGCGATTCGGAAATTCTCACGGCTCGGATTTTAAACGACGCGTTTCAATGCCAGAGGATGAAGGAGACAATTGCAAATCAGGACAACTGAATAAAAATTGCTTTTTTCCCTGTACTAACGCATTTGTGAGATTTTTCTGATTAAAATGGTACCAAACACGATATGATTTGAATTATATTTCTTTATTAAAATAATAATAAAACTGTACACCAAAGATACATCAAACACGCAACATGCAACATGCAACACGTCGCATGTTGTGTACGAACTTAGAATAGGTATCGCGGCTGAATACAAACGATGTGTACAGAATCGACACCTCGACTGGATATATGCAACGTTTAAATGCCCAGAATCGACACCTCGGCTAGATATATGAAACATTAAATGCCCAGAATCGACACCTCGGTTGGATATATGCAACGTTTAAATGCCCAGAATCGACACCTCGGCTGGATATATACAACGTTTGATACCCGAGCCGACACCGCAACCGGTTTTCATTTCCAATCCTCCTACTAATGCGTTAGTAAAAGTTTCAGTAAAAAAAAGTAAAAAATAAAAAAGTTTTATAGTTGAATTAGTATTAGTCACACCGATACGTTTCGGCTCTTTCCTTTGATCATCGGACCCCTCTCTTTACGCCACTGTCTGTCCTCTTCTATGTTCACGCTTGGCTGCTCGTCGCGTGTAACCCGAGATTCGACTGGATATATGCAACGTCTGGGTCCCAATGTTTGTTGCATATATCCAGCTTTTACTGTATGTAACTATCGTAGCATCCGTGTGTCATTTAGGTGTATGCGAAGAATGACGTAGAATAGTACGCCGTTAGTTGGATGCGATAACTGAGGTGGCGCTGAAATCAGTTTCTGTTCGGCCTAATTTTCGACGAAACGTTGACTGTTTTACCAACGCGGAATTCGGAGTTCGGCCTCGACGCTATTTTTAGTTGGTAACCCTAGTTGGTAGAAGACGCGCTAAAAGGCGAAGGTGATTTCCCATTCCAAGAAGAAATGCCAAAGAAGTAAGACGTGATACACTCGTATAAATATTGTGGAATAAAGAGACAAGTTCTTGTGCAATCAGTGGAATAGTTTAATTATTGCTCCTCTCTTTCTTATTGACGAACTGAGCTCCCCACACGCCTTCGATTCTTGCGCCATCTATCGGTACCAAGAGGAAGCAAATTCTTCAACCGCGCCCTCTTTTCTAGGGTGCTCTGGGCCTGACGCCCTCGTCTCGATGCACCCCCATTCTACTCTGTTGTACGCGACCGGAAGTTTAAAAGGCACGCGTCCTTCACCTTCATCGCTATTTTTAACCGACTTCGAAAAGGAGGAGGTTACTCAATTCGATCAATATATGTTTTTTTTTTTTTTATTTTTTTATTTTCTGTGTGTGTTCACCGATTACTCCGAGATGGATGGACCAATCGGAACGAAACCTTTTGCATCTTGTAGAATATGTCTTCCGGTTGGTCCCATTAAAAAAAAATTTTTCGTTTTTTCATTGTTATTGCAAAATACAGGAAGTTTTTAATCTCAAGATTGGACGATTTCAATGACCTAAAATATGTTGTTGGGGGCATGATTCTGAACAACTTTTTCATTATGCATAATAACGAAAAGTTTTAGTTTCCGAGATATTCGTGAAAAACTATTGTTGCTACTACATTGAATTCTACGTATTCCTACGTGTCTGTACCGGTGAATGAGTCAGCATGCAATCGCCGATTCTCTACAGTTTCTATATACATATGTATATACTCTGCAAGGCATGTACCGATTGCGATGAAACCTTTCGCATTTAATAAAAGATATTTCCGCGATGATCCCACTTGCAAAAATGTATGGAACTTGTTATCGTTAAAAACTATCGTTATTGCAATTAACCAATAAGGACGGTAAACCACCTTACGACATCCTACAAATACTGCTCCATGACGTCGCTGTGATGCCCGCGCAACCGCATCTCGCGCGGCCCCCTAAATATTTAACGAGTGAAATCTAAAAATCTAAATTTTGAGACGTGGAATCCACCGAGTGTAAAACTGAGCGTTTTTAGCGTATTTTACAGGTTATTTCGACGCCATATTGACTTCTATCTGTAATATGATTGGTCTGTAGAAATGAGTATTAAAAATACTCTCGACTTCCGCTTACCTTATTTATAAAGCATAGTATCTTCTGATGACTTTTATCATTGATTCCATCAAATCAATTTCATTTTTACGGCAGAACCTACGCCACAGGTACAACAGTTCCTATCAAATCCGAGGGGATATTGTTTATAAAAAAAAAAAACTAACCTTAGGTATACCGGATGTGCTCTACAAGTCAATATGGCGTCGAAATGACTTGAATGAGCTAAAAACGCTCAGTTTTACACATGCATAACTTCTGAACTGGTGGATTCCGCGCCTTAAAACTTGGATTTTTACATTCCACTCGTTAAATACTTCAAGAAGATAACAAAAAGGCAGTAATTTTTGGGCCCCTGAAGAAAAGTTCAGCCTCAAGCTTTAATGTTTACATCCGATCTTAATTAGTTTTCAAGATATAACGTTTACTTACCGATTTTCAACGGAGACATCTCGGTCGAGTAGCAAGTAGTAAAGGCGGCAAGTGGTCTACTGCTCCGACCATTTGTGTATAATTGTTTACGCGGGATGATTTGAATTAACATTTACTTTGCTTTCGATACTTTTTAATTGTATACTCAATTTTATAATATTTAATAATTGAAAATTATATGATTTTGTTTCTAAATTATTTTTAATATCAATATTGTTAAAATTGGAATTTGGAGAATTTCTTCTTCTCCTACATCGCCCTTTTTCCTAGGGAAGCCTACTTTATTCGATACTGTGCATACATACATACATTGTATATAGTATATTAGTATTAGTGTTTCCAATATACTCTCGCAGAACAGAGTATTACAAAGTATACTTGGTCGTTTCGTATGAATACAGATGTAATATTTTCAGAATACTTGATACATAAAATTATAATGATTTTATTTTGTACAAAAATCAATATTGCTAGGAATAATAATACGCATAAACAACCAACATTTGTACTATAATATATATGATACTCTATAGTAAATCAAGGTATTGTGGCAATTTTTGTACACGTATGTAAGTATGATATAAAATACGTGGAAACGATTTAAATATTACGAAAAACTACATAAATGTTTAATTTAATTAAAAAATGGACATTGAAACTGAGAATGTTATAAATCTCGTTTTTCCTGACGGTATACCAGGTAAGATGTTCAAATACTGTTATGATCAATATGACATTCCAATGTGTCAGTATTACTAAATATAATAAATTGTTTATTTCATCTAAGTTTTAAAATGATGTTTGATTACAATTATACATGTATATATTTATTTTCAATAGAATCATGGAAAGAAAGTCCAGATTTTTACCAATACTTATCAAAGCTTGGTGGTTATGACGTTGATCAACTCAGTAAGTCAGTTTATTATCCTTCAAGATTTTATTTCATTTAATAAATTAATATTTGCATTTTCTAGATAAAGAACCTGACCATTTGGAGGATGAAAAAACTTTAGTGTTACAAACTACACAAGAACTTGCATTTTCAAATTATAAAACCTTTATTCAAACTGCAGAAAGTTCCAGGGAAATATTTAAACAAGTAGTAACAAAATACATATCAATGATTTTAATAATCTCATTAGTCTATTTATTAATATAAAAATATATGTTTCAAGTTTAATGAGACTGAAAATCGACTTAATGGACTTGTACAAAAAATACCCAAATTCGTGGAGAGGTGCCAATCATTTTGTGATACTTCAAAAGATATAAATACACATAGAAGAATAAATAGTTTAACATTAACAAGAAATGCAGAGTTGCTTGAAGTGCTTGAAATGCCTCAATTAATGGAATCCTGTTTAAGAAGTAATCAGTACAATGAAGCATTGGAATTGTCTCAATATGCACGTCAATTAGGAACTAAGCATGGCGATATCCCAATCATATCGGTAGGATTTGCTATAAAACAAAATGTGCAGCATAAAATGTACTTCACTTTGTTTATTAACAATATAGTCCATAGTGGCAGAAATTGAAAACAGTTGGTCAGGCATGGTAGGACAAGTTGTTAGATCATTGAGAGAAGATTTACCACTTCCGAGATGTTTACAAC